TCACAAACCTTCTGGAGTTTTGTGATAAAGTAACGGAAGTAAGGCACGAGAGAGAGGGGTGGGTTGATTGCATCTTCTTGGACTGCAAGAAGTCCTTTGACACAGATCCTCTAGCAGAAGCTAGAGGACCAGGCGCATATAACAGGAAGGGCACTGCAATGGATCAGAGAATACCTGACAGGGAGGCAACAACGAGTCATGGTACGTGATGAGGTATCACAGTGGGCACCTGTGACGAGCGGAGTCCAACAGTGGTTGGTCGTAGGACCAGTGCTATTTTTTGGTATATGTGAACGACATGATGGAAGGGTTAGACTCAGAAGTGTCCCTGTTCGCAGACGATGTGAAGTTAATGAGAAGAATTAAATCAGATGAGGACCGGGCAGGACTTCAAAGAGACCTGGACAGACTGGACACCTGGTCCAGCAACTGGCTTCTCGAATTTAACCCCGCCAAATACAAAGTCATGAAGATCGGGGAAGGGCACAGAAGACCGCTGACGGAATATAGGCTAGGAGGCCAAAGACTGCAAACGTCGCTCAAGGAGAAAGATCTTGGGGTGAGTATAACACCAAGCATGACTCCGGAAGCACACATCAACCAGATAACTGCTGCAGCATATGGGCGCCTGGCAAACCTGAGAACAGCGTTCCGATACCTTAGTAAGGAATCGTTCAAGACACTGTACACTGTGTACGTTAGGCCCATACTGGAATATGCAGCACCTGTTTGGAACCCGCACTTGATCAAGCACGTCAAGAAATTAGAGAAAGTGCAAAGGTTTGCGACAAGGTTGGTTCCAGAGCTAAGGGGAATGTCCGATGAAGAAAGGTTGAGGGAAATCGGCCTGACGACACTGGAGAACAGGAAAGTCAAGGGAAACATGATAACATATAAAATACCCGCCGGAATAGACAAGGTGGACAAAGGATGTTCCAGGGAAGGGACACAGAAACAAGAGGTCACATTTGGAAGTTGAAGACTCAGATGAGTCAAAGGGATGTTAGGAAGTATTTCTTCAGTCATAGAGTTGTCGGGCAGTGGAATAGCTTAGAAAGTAACGTAGTGGAGGCGGGAACCATACATAGTTTTAAGACGAGGTTTGATAAAGCTCATGGAGCAGGGAGAGAGAGGACCCAGTAGTAACCAGTAAAGAGGCAGGGCCAGGAGCTAAGACTCGACCCCTGCAGCCACAAATAGGTGAGTACAATAGGTGAGTACTCCCTAGCTCACTTTCTCGACATCATATACGTCACACTTCAATAACTCAAGCATCCATATTTCCTAGTTCAGTCACTGCATTTCCCGTCTTCTAAACTTATTCTTTGCTAACTTTATTTCTGGAGAGTCCTTTGGAGAAATTATTGATATAATTTACGTGAAGTGTTAGGCCTATGTAAAGCACATGTTTGTGTGTGTGTGTGTGTGTGTGTGTGTGTGTGTGTGTGTGTGTGTGTGTGTGTGTGTGTGTGTGTGTGTGTGTGTGTGTGTGTGTGTGTGTGTGAGTGAGAGTAGAAGAACCAGCATATATATTCAGTAAGAAGTTAACGTAATGAGAGCTCAATGAGTCACCGATTTCTTAAACAGAAACGAACTGTGTAATAAATCTCACACACACACACACACACACACACACACACACACACACACACACACACACACACACAAACACACACACAATTTTCCTGCCAAATACAGTAGCTGACCAGTGGAATGCATAGAAAAAAAAATGAGTGCCACAACCACTGGAAATTTGGAAGAAAAAAAATGTGATGAAACGAGACGTAAAGACGAGACACAGCGAGCACAACTGTGCTCCTGGAGCCTCGAATATATAATTACGAATAAGTAATTACGAATAAGTAATTACGAATAAGTGATTACGAATAAGTGATTATGAACTGTTAATTGCTAATAGGTAATTACGAATTAGTGATTAGGAATAGGTAATTAAATGGGTAGCTACGAGTAGGTAATTACGAAAATGTAATTGCGAATGAGTAATTACAAAAATGTGACTACGAATAGGCAATTACGAATAGGTAACTACGAATAATTACGAATAGGTGATTATATACACAAATTTGGATTCTTCCTGTCCTTTTGTAGGTAACACTTGAGGTGACTGACAGAAACAGTGTTATGTTACTACTTGGTAATTGCAATGTTTTATACTTGACACTGAGTACTTTCATGTTGGCTGTGCATCATCCCTGCCTCACCCCTGCACTGCCTCTCTCCAGCCCTGCCTCACCCCTGCTCTGCCCCACCCAACAATGCCCCAGACCCGCCGTGCTCTGGCTGTTCTATCTCAGCCCTGCCTCTGTCTTACCCAAGCCCCTGCCACAGCCCTGCTACACAGCCTTACTCTGTAATAGCATTACTAAACAAATATATTATTATTATTATTATTATAATCAAAAAGAAGCGCTAAGCCACAAGGGCTATACAGCGTAAACAAATATAGAAACCCGTCAGTTTCAGTCGTTAAAATCTACGTCATACTGTTCATCAATTTCCCCTCGTACAATATAACGTCTGTAGAGGCGAAATTTTTCCGTCAGTGATGTGACTGTTTATTTAGTCTTGGATCATTGAATAAAGTTGATACTGTGACAACTACTATAGTTTCACAAATTATAATGATTTTTAACATACAGTAATGTTGACAAACGGATCAGAGAACTGACAGGATGATGAATTGACAGTTATGTAACATCTGGGTAACTTTAGTGTAGATAAAGATACCCAAGTGTTGGACAAGTGTCTAGTTCATAATACAGCTGATAAATAATTCCCTTCTCCATCATTCCAAACAAAAGCGTCTCGTTTGCAACTGCAGAAAATCTGGTCACTTGATACCACTGAATATATCATTGCTTAGTTAATCTTAAGTTAATTTTAAGGCTGCCCATAATGCTCTGCATACAAGGGGCTTTTGGCATGTACACTTAACCACTGTATTTCTTTTGTACAGCTATGTATCATGTCCAAATAAAAAATAAATAAATAAATAAATATATAGAGCCGCACGGTGCGTCGCCTCTCCCCCAGCAACGCCCCATAAACTGGACCACTTTTCCTTTCTGTCCAGTCTTGGCGTTTGCTGAGCCTTTCTGGTTTTTATGACTTTTCGGCAGCAACAACAACAAATGCAGCAGCAACAGAAGCCACAGCATCAGCAACAGCAGCATTAACGAAAGCCGCAGCAGAACTAGCAGAAGCAGTAGCAGAAACAACAGCAGAAGCAGCAGCAGGAGCATCGACAACAGCAGCATAATTAACAGTAGCAGCAAGACGCACGACCCATAACTGACCAGCACCGCCTCTTTTTTATCCTTGGGCTTAAAAATCAATGGCAAAAACGTAGAAGAGACTAGCAAGAATAAAGGTAGAACAGGCGAGAAAGGTTGAAGGCAGACAGGAATAGGCGAAACAAAAAAATGAAAAGGTTAAGTGAACGGACCACTTTCGTGTGGGTAGTAAGAGTGACTGTGTTACATAGTGACGAGTATCACAATTCATTATCGCATGTCCTCCTTTTTCCAGGTCGGTTTTCAGTTTCTTGAAAGTCTGGGAGTCCACGATATTTAAGACGTGTGTGTGTGTGTGTGTGTGTGTGTGTGTGTGTGTGTGTGTGTGTGTGTGTGTGTGTGTGTGTGTGTGTGTGTGTGTGTGTGTGTGTGTGTGTTTCACTGTCCCTTTGCATAATTCCTCACAGAGTTGTCGTGTATTCATTGGTGGGCAAGTGACAGCAGCTGTGAAGAATATTTTTGTGGTAGTCTCTTCTTCATCTTCAGTTTCTTAGTCAAATGTGAATGTATCCTCTGTTGCTGTTGCTGCTGTGCTGCTGCTGGAGGCTACTTACTGGTGATTGGCTCCACTGTCGGTGTAAAATTGTTCAGATGAGTGTTGATGGACTTGACTCCACGAGAATTTAGATGGAATTTCTGGGATATTTCATATACGAGTTATTATCTCAACACAATACTTTGTTTAGTGTTGTGTTGTATTGAGTGAGCTGCAGTGTTGATGTGTACGTAGATCATGCTTGTTATTATCTTGATTGTTGAGATGTAAGTACATTATACTTGCTGCTATCTTGATTGTTGTAGAACCTTGTAAATCTGTGTCTGGGTCTAGTGGAGTTGCTGTAAGAGTTAAGGCTGCTTGTTGTTTGAGTGCAGGATTTCCTGGGTGCTTTCCTGAAATCTGTTTATTGCTGCCTAGGAAGTGAATCTGGATGTGTTGATTTTTTCAGGTGTTAAAGTGTGATGATCACCTTTATAGTTAAGGCATTTTGGTAGGTTTCATTTTTGTAGTCCCTGAAGGAACGTCTGTTACTGATATATTCAGAGCAAAATTTCTGGTTATTCAAAGAGCAGCTGGTAGCGAATTTGTTTTAGGTTGAAAAGATTAGGCAGTCATTTGCAATTCACACTGAGGTCATTTGTTGTAACATTGATTGTTCCTGTGATAGACCTCAATCTCACTTCTTGTGTTTGCATAGCACTTACTTCCCCGACCACACGGGGATCGTAAGGAAAAGTAGAAGGTTGGTGTTGTTACTACGAGCACCAGATAAGAAGTCGTGAGCAGAATGATCAGATCCGAACGTGTGATGAATCCTCCGAGTCTTCTACTGTTGAAGTTCATTAACCAATTGCCCACTAACATTGGTCATGCTAAGCCAAGCATACATACATATATATATGCATACGCTAACTATGGCATTCTCATCTACTGTACTGCAATTATAACACTTCATTAAACTGAAAATTAGGCTTTACGAAATTTGTGGCTGTTCCTCTCCTCTCATCGTGTGCTGACTGACTCGCCCTCATTGTTCCGAGACTATGGAAGCGTGTTCAGTTCTAATGCCATTTAAAGCAACTCAAGAAAAAAAAGCGTACGTGAGCACCGTAAACATTTTAGGACACTTTTTACATACGTTGCACAACATAACTATGTGTTGACGCCCCTTTACCATCTACTTTCAGATGCTGCAGGGACTCGTGTGGCTGGCCAGCTTGGCCTTGTGTCTGGCTGAGCTGCCCATATCCCCGTCTTATGGTACTCCACCACTTCCAGTTTACGGTCCACCTCGCCCAGTTTACGGTCCTCCTCGCCCAGTTTACGGTCCACCACCTGCACCATGCTACCCTGAGACCAAATATGTTACTAAAGTTCAGACTAACATCCAACAGGTGGGGCAAACATTCTCTTTGTACACTAACTAATAATCATATACAGTAAGATGCATAATAATGAAATCACTGCAAAATATCCTGTAAGCTTCACATCAAAAAGTTGTATTATAATTAGATCGAACAATGGGTACTGTTTTGGAAGTAACGATTCAAAATTTTGCATAAACAGTTATTTGTAAATATCAACGCTTTAGCACTTTCAACATATATTTTATTTACATAAAATTTAATATACTGAATATTTTCTTGATTTACTGTATCATATATTTGTGTCTCGCAGGTACCCGTGTACACGACTGTTTACCAGACGCAGGTGGTACCTACTACCTTGTACCAGACGCAGTATCAGACGGTGTACAAGACACAGTACCAAACGCAGTTTGTGCCACAGTACGTCACCGAAACAGACATCCAGGTGCAGTATGTGACGCAGACGGAGTATGTCAACCGCTACATTACATCCTATGTCAAGCAGTACGTCACCCAGACAGCCTATGAAACTCGGTACCTAACACAGATAGCCTACCAGACCCAGTACGTCACAAAAACTCAAATTCAGTACGAAACTAAGATTCAGTACACCCCAAGTTACGTAACTAAGGTTAATTATGTGACAGAGACCGCCTACCTCACCAAGGTGATACCTCAGTACACCACCGTCGTCAAGAAGGAGACTAACTATGTCACCTACTGCCCCCCACCTCCACCAGCCTACGGTCCCCCACCTGCTCCTACCTACGGCGCCCCACCTGCTCCTGTCTACGGCGCCCCAGAAGTCTTGCCTTCCTACGGACAGTAAGAACCAGTATTACGCAGGCTACTGACGAACATACCTAGTAAAACGCACGGAGATGGATACAGTTGTGTCCATGGAAGATGATGTTAATCATAGATCACTTCTGGAACAACAGACGCACTCTGGTTGCGCACTTCAACACTAAAACAGAGTCCTTCAATGTGTTCACTCATTCTGTATAAATATATTAACAATGTTTGAGGCACAAGAAGTGACCAAGTGATGGGCAGCCGTCGTACTCAGGATGGATGGAATTTATTACAAAAGAAGTGAACAATACAAGGCAGAGGTTGGGGTCAACGGAGCGACTCGGAATCTCGGCAGTGTTCCAGGAAATTTAGCATCAAAATATTTTCGTTTTTTTCTTTTTATAAGAACGAATAATTAATTTTAAGCTGGCCTCTTTCGCACACAAATAAATTGTAATTAGTGTTTATTTCGCAAACTTTTTTCAGGTCAAGATATATATGTATAAATATATATATTTATATATATATATATATATATAAATTAAAATATATATATATTATATATATATATATATATATATAATATATATATACATATATATCGTGCCGAATAGGTAAAACTTGCGATTTTGGCTTAAATAGCGAAGCTGTTCTTGCCGAATAAGGCAAGCGAAAATCTGTGTATGCAGTAATTTCACAGAAATCACCCTGAACCTAACGAAAAAAATATATTTCATTGTCTTTGTTCATTACTAAATTATTATAAACTTATCTAAAACATATTTACTTGGATTAGGCTAAATTAATTAAATTGCGCTTGTTATAATAAGGTTAGGTAAATTTTCTAAAGTTCACTTCTTACAAAATTATTAACTTTTACATTAACATATATGAAAAAAAATTGTCTTTAAGCGTACAAGAGAAAATTTTAGAAAGTACTTAATTTTAAATGAGTTCTTGCTAATTGACCAGTTTTACGTATTCGGCACGACATATATATATATATAATATATATATATATATATATATATATATATATATATATATATATATATAATATATATATAATATATATATATATATATATATATATATATATATATATACATGTATATATATATGTGTGTGTGTGTGTGTGTGTGTGTGTGTGTGTGTGTGTGTGTGTGTGTGTGTTTGTGTGTGTGTGTAGTCACCTATTTGTAGTTGTAGGGGTCGATTCATAGCTCCTGGCCCCACCTCTTCACTGATCGCTACTAGGTCCTCTCTCTCCCTGCTCCATAAGGTTTACCAAACTTCGTCTTTAAACTATGTAAGGTTCCTGCCTCCACCACGTCACTTTCTAAGCTATTCCACATCCTGACAACTCTGTGCCTGAAGAAATACTTCCTAACATCCCTTTGACTTATCGGAGTCTTCAACTTCCAATTGTGACCCCTTCTTTCTGGAACATCCTGTCTTTGTCCACCTTATCAATTCATCGCAGTATTTTATATGTCGTTATCATGTCTCCCTTAACCCCCCTGTTCTCCAATGTCGCCAGGCCGATTTCTCTTAACCTGGGACTAGTCTTGTTGCAAATCTTTGAACTTTCTCTAATTTCTTGACGTGCTTGACCAGGTGTGGATTCCAAACTAGTGCTGCATACTCCAATATGGGCCTAACGTACACGGTGTACAGAGTCTTGAACGATTCCTTATTGATGTATGGGAACGTTATTCATAGGTTTTCCAGGCGCCCATATGCTGCAGCAGTTATCTGGTTGATGTGCGCCTCAGGAGATGTGCTCGGTATTATACTCATACCTAGATCTTTTTCCTTGAGTGAGGTTTGCAGTCTTTGGCCACCTAGACTATGCTCTGTCTGCGGTCTTCTTTGCTCTTCCCCGATCTTCATGACTTTGCATTTGGTGGAGTTAAATTCAAAAAGCCAGTTGCTGGACCAGGCTTGTAGCTTGTCCAGATCTCTTTGTAGTCCTGCCTGATCCTCATCCGATTTAATTCTCATGATTAACTTCACATCATCTACAAACAGGAACACTTCTGAGTCTATCCCTTCCGTCATATCATTCACATATACCAAAAACAGCACAGGTCCTAGGAGTGACCACAGTGGAACCCCGCTCATCACAGGCGCCCACTCTGTCACATCGTCACGTACCATGACTCGTTGTTGCCTCCCTGTCAGGTATTCTCTGATCTATTGCAGTGCCTTTCCTGTTATGTGTGCTTGATCCTCTAGCTATTGCATTACCCTCTTGTGAGGAACTGTGTCGAAGGCCTTCTTGCAATCCAAGAAAATGCAATCTATCAACCCTTCTCTCTCGTGTCTTAATTCCGTTACTTTGTCATAAAACTTCAGTAGGTTTGTGACAGGATATTTCCTTCCCTGAAACCGTGCTGGTTGTCGTTCATTAGCTCCACCACTCTCCTCCTGATAATCTTCTCAATGACTTTGCATACTATACATGTCAGTGACACAGAACTGTAGTTTAATACCTCGTGTCTTTCTCATTTCTTAAAAATTAGGACTACATTTGCCATCTTCCATAACTCAGGTAGTTGCCCAGTTTCAATGGATGTGTTGAAGATTTTTGTTAGTGGCACACACAACATCTCTGCTCCCTCTCCATGAACCCACGGAGAGATGTTGTCCGGTCCCACCGCCTTTGAAGTATCAAGTTCACATAGCAGCTTCTTCACCCTCCCCCTCGGTTATGTGTATTTCATCCTGTCTCCACTGTAAATATTTCTTTAAATCTCAAGTTGATCTTCTCACATACTTCTTGGTCGTTTCTTGTGAACTTTCCACCTTTCTTCCTCAGCCTGATTACCTGGTACTTGACTGTTGTTTTCCTCCTGATGTGGCTATACAACAGCTTCGGGTCAGACTTGACTTTCGATGCTATGTCATTTTCGTATTGTCGCTGAGCCTCCCTTTTTATCTGAGCTTATTCGTTTCTGGCTCTTCTGCTGATCTCTTTATTTTCCTGGGTCCTCTGTCTTCTGTAGTTTTTCGGTGGCTTAGTGCACTTAGTTTTTGCCTCTCCCGACACTTTTGGGTGAACCAAGAACTCGTTCTGGTTTTTACATTATCTCTCTCATACATACACACATACATACATACATACATACATACATACATACATACATACATACATACATACATACATACATACATACATACATACATACATACATGCATACATACATACATACATATTGTTAAAGTCGCTTATTTTGATACTCTGCGTTACATTAAGTTCGCTTAACCTGACCTTTTGTACTAAGATAATAAAATTATTCATATAGCTCCCGTAGTTGTGCTGACGTTACTTTTATTGACTAATAACTTGACAGTTTTCTCGACTAATAACTTGATAATTTTGACTCATAACTTGTTAGCTCCATGATAACTTCGTCTTGCTGAACATTTATATCAGTTATTTTAATTAATTTTTAGCAATTTTTTGTATTTTTTTACCTTGCACAGACTGCGAGAATGTGGTGAGTCAGTTGCGAAATTTTAATATTGGCAAATAAAACATGTATTTACTTACTCTGGTATTGATTTTCATCCTAAACAAACACACACACACACATACAAACACATACACACACACACACACACATACACACACACACACACACACACACACACACACACACATACACACACACACACACACACACACACACACACACATACACACACACACACACACACACAAACACACATACACACACACACATATACACACATACACACACACATACACACACACACACACATACACACACACACACATACACATACATACACACACACACACACACACACACACACACACACACACACACACCACACACACACACACACACACACACACACACACACATATATACACATACACACACACACCCCCACACACACACACACACACACACACACACACACACATACACACACATACACACACACACATACACACACACACACATACACACACACACACACACACATACACACACACACACACACACACACACACACACACACACACACACACACACACACACACACACACACACCACACACACACACACACACACACACACAACTATTCTCAGAACCCCACAACCTACCACACCATCCCAACACACACTAGAATCCATACCCACAGCTTCCACCCAACACCGAGCTATAGAATCCCACAGTATGCTTCCAGGTCTCCCACCCTCACAGGCCCCCCAAACCACAGTGTTGGAAAGGAAACTGAAGGTATGGTACACAAACGATAATGGAATAACAAATAAGTGGAAGGAGTGGCACGAAAGGGTCAAAGAAGCATCCCCGGACATCATAGCTCTCACAGAAACCAAGCTTACAGGTATGATAACAGATGTCATCTTTCCAACGGGATACCAGGTCCTGAGGAAAGACAGAGGGAACAGGAAGGGGGTGGAGGAGTGGCACTGCTGATCAAAAACCAATGGAATTTTGATGAGCTGGAGAGAGGAGACAATAGAGAAGAAAGTGATTACATAGCGGGAACGCTTCACTCTGGAGGTCCTAAGGTGGTAATTGCACTGATGTATAACCCACCACAGAACAGCAGGAGGCCAAGGCAAGAGTATGATGAGAGCAATAGAGCAATGGTTGACACACTGACTGCAGTGGCCAGAAGAGCTCATGCATGCAGGGCAAAGCTCCTGATAATGGGTGACTTTGACCACAAGGAGATTGATTGGGAGAACTTGGAGCCACATGGGGGCCAAGATACATGGAGGGCTAAGATGATGGAGGTGGTACTGGAAAACTTCATATACCAACACGTAAGGGACACTACAAGAGAGAGAGGAGAGGATGAACCAGCAAGACTGGACTTAGTATTCACCTTGAGTAGTGCAGATATTGAGGACATCACATATGAAAGACCCCTTGGGGATAGCGATCATGTGGTTTTAAGCTTCGAATACACAGTAGAGCTACAAGTGGAGGGGGAAGCAGGGAGGCCAGGACGAATGAAGCCAAACTACAAGAAAGGGGACTACACGGGAATGAGGAACTTCCTGAGCGAGGTTCAGTGGGACAAAGAACTGGCAGGGAAGCCAGTTAATGAGATGATGGAATATGTAGCAACAATGTGCAAGGAGGCTGAGGAGAGGTTTGTACCCAAGGGTAACAGGAATAATGAACAAGCCAGGATGAGCCCATGGTTCACCCAAGGGTGCAGGGAGGCAAAAACCAAGTGTGCTAGGGAATGGAAGAAATATAGAAGGCAAAGGACCCAGGAGAATAAGGAGAGCAGTCATAGAGCCAGAAACAAATATGCACAGATAAGAAGGGAGGCCCAGCGACAATATGAAAACGGCATAGCAGCGAAAGCCAAATCTGACCCGAAACTGTTATACAGCCACATCAGGAGGAAAACAACAGTCAAGGTCCAGGTAATCAGGCTAAGGAAGGAAGGAGGATAGATAACAAGAAATGACCGTGAAATATTTGA